TATCCATTCTGCTTATAAATCCTTCCAGGGATTGTTTCACTTCTGTGATCTCTTTCCTGACATCTGTGATCTCCTTCCGGACTTCATCCCACTGCTCTTGCATTTTTCTCTGCATCTCATCCCACTGCTCTTGCATTTTTCTCTGCATCTCATCCCATTGCTCTTGCATTTTTTTCTGCATCTCTGTCAGCATGTTCATGATTTTTATTTTGAATTCTTTTTCAGGAGGACTAGTTAGGTCTGTCTCCTTCTCAGGTGTTGTCTCTGTGATCTTTGTCTGCCTGTAGTTTTGCCTTTTCATGGTGATAGAGATAGTTTGCAGAGCTGGTACAAGTGACCGCTGGAAGAGCTTCCCTTCTTGTTGGTTTGTAGCCTTTTCCTGGGAGAATAGCGACCTCTAGTGGCTTGTGCTGGGCAGCTGTGCGCAGACAGGGCTTCTGCTTCCTGCCCAGTTGCTTTGGGGTTTATCTCCGCTGTTGCTGTGGGCTTGGCCTGGCTGGGGCTGTTCCTCCAAAATGGTGGAGCCCCGTTGGAGGGGGAGCAGCCAGGAGACTATTTATCTCCGTAAGGGGCCTCTGTGCTCCCTGCTGCCCAGGGGGTTAGAGTGCCCAGAGATCCCCAGATTCCCTGCTTCTGGTCTAAGTGACCTGTCCTGCCCCTTTAAGATTTCCAAAAAGCACTCTCCAAACCAAAACAACAACAGCAACAATGAGAGAGGGAACAGAAAGGAAAAAAAAAAGAAAAAACACGCGATTTTTTTTTTTTTTTCCCCAGGTGCCGGTCCCAGGCACCCGCGCACTGGTCCTGCTGCCCTGTCTCCCTAGCACCAGGGTCCCTGTCCTTTCAAGGCTTCCAAAAAGCACCCACCCACCGGTCCCGCAGGGAAGGAACGCTCAATATTCTTGGTCCTCAGGCACTGGTCCCACGCACCCGCTCACCAGTCCCGCCGCCCTGCCTCCCTAGCACCGGGGTCCCTGTCCCTTCAAGGCTTCCAAAAAGCACTCGGCAAAAAGAGAGAAAAAAAAGGGGAAAAACGCGCGATTTCTTCCGTCCTCAGGTGCTGGTCTCAGGCACCCACCCACCGGTCCCACAGGGAAAAATGCGGGATATTCTTTGTCCTCAGGTGCCGGTCCCAGGCACCCGCTCACCAGTCCCGCCGCCCTGCCTCCCTAGCACCGGGGTCCCTGTCCCTTTTAGGCTTCCAAAAAGCACTCGCAGAAAAGAGAAAAAAAAAAGGGGAAAAACGCGCGATTTCCTCTGTCCTCAAGTGCCGGTCTCAGGCACCCGCCCACCGGTCCCGCAGGGAAAAACGGGGGATATTCTTTGTCCTCAGGCGCCGGTCCCAGCCACCCGCTCACCAGTCCCGCCACCGTGCCTCCCTAGCACTGGGGTCCCCGTCCCTTCAAGGCTTCCAAAAAGCGCTCGCCAAAAAGAGAAAAAAAAAAAAAGGGGAAAAACGCGCGACCTCCTCCGTCCTCAGGCACCGGTCTCAGGCACCCGCCCCCAGGTCTCGCAGGGAGAAACGCGGGATATTCTTTGTCCTCCGGCGCCGTTCCCAGGCACCTCCTCACCGGTCCCGCCACCCTGCCTCCCCAGCAACGGGGGCCCGTCCCTCTAAGGCTTCCAAAAAGCGCTCGCCAAAAAAAAAAAAAGCTCCGGTTTCTTTCCGCCCGCCGGGAGCCGGGGGGAGGGGCGCTCGGGTCCCGCTGGGCTGGGGCTTGTATCTTACCCCCTTCACAAGGCGCTGGGTTCTTGCAGGTGTGGATGTGGTCTGGATGTTGTCCTGTGTCCTGTGGTCTCTATTTTAGGAAGATTTTTCTTTGGTATATTTTCATAGCTCTATGTGTTTTTGGGAGGAGATTTCCACTGCTCTACTCACGCCGCCATCCTGGCTCCGCCTGGATATACCAGATTTTTAAAATCCACTCAGAATCACACACTGAAGGAACTGCTACTGTCGAAAACAAAGTCATACACAAAGAGAATAAAGTTACAAAAGCAGGCAGATGCTAAGTACAGGTGGCACAGGGAAAAGACCCAGAGGAGTGAAAATGTGTGCAATTTATGTGGATGGCAAGAGGCTAGGTTTTAGGGTGGGAGTCTCAAGAGCAGGGTGGTCATGTGATTAAGGCTGTTTTATTTTCCACAAACATATTTTGTCATCATCACTCCTATTACCTATCACAGAACTTACAAGTTTATGAAAAAAAACGTAATTTCTTTTATTCTGACAGCAGAATTTGATTCTGAAAGTGATAAGGCTTAGTAATTTAAGGCAATGAGGTATCATTTTTTCTGAGATCATTTGTATCAATAAGTGGAAGCTACTTCTGGGCTAGAATGTCAGACAGTGATCTCTGTAGGGAATAGGAGTAAAATTGAAAAGGGAAAGAGGAAGAGAATTGGGAAGGGTACAGAGTGAGAGAAGAACAGAGAGAATAGAATAATTTGGGGTAATGTGTGACAAAGTTCCAGAGAAATATTTGGAACAAATTCTTTTCAACAATAGAACCTACTGATGTGCTCCACATGGCCTACCAGGTGCCCTTCACAGAATGTGTTCAATTATATCTACATAACTAGTTTCTAGAGTGAATACCTTCCTTTACCCTTAAGTTCTTTCAGCTCAAAGTGAGGTAGGCTATTAGCTTTCTCCAAGTTTTTAGTTTTCCACCTTCCAAAACCTCCTAAGGTTTCACTTCCTCTCAAAGTTGAGTTAACCCATGTTTAGTGCTTAGCACACTGTCTGTACAAATGTAAATATCAGTATGTCTGGTTATTGATGGTATTGCTATTAATGACTTCTTCCATCTTTTCTTATGTTTTCACTGGACTTTAGAGCCATTAGTTTTGCCTATTTAAATTCTATTTGTTTCCTCATTCTTGTTTTTATTCTAGTTATGATTGTTTCCATTGGAGTTCTGAAAATGTTGCTATGATCTCTGGGTAAATCAAGGTCTACTTTGTCTTCTAAGTCTCTTTCTGATAGTCCATTGCAAGAATGCTTTAAGTGTTAAGAGGAAAATGATTATGTGCCTTATTTTGTTTGTCAAGCATTATCTGAAGAAATATGAGTGATAATTTTATTTCACTTTCTGCCATTACATATGGTTATCTGTCCTGCATAACACATCTAATTCAAAATAATTGTCCAGATTGCTCTCAAATTTCTTTTTATATTTTTACAGAGATAACATTCATTAGTTTATCATAGGAGACTACTAGACTGTATATCTCTTTTGTTATTTTTCCTTGTGACTTTGCCTGTGGTGGGTTTCTATATATCTATTTTATTGAAGTCTTGTACAATTAATTTTTCCTGCAGTCCCTTTTTAAATCTGCGTAAATCTGTTCAGGTTCATGATTTGATTATAGGATTGGTTCATTTTGATCATTTGCCACTTCCATACAATGTGAATATTATCACACCTCCTAAGGGTAAACATTTAATTTTCTCATGATAAATTCCCCAAGTCCTAAGTGTGCCTGATGTAAGAAAGGGCATTTCTACTTTGTTACTTCACACTTATTATTCTTGTCTCTCAAACTCTACTTTCATTAGTTCATTTAAGACTTAATTTTCTACTTCAAGAGGCAGGAGCTGAGAAGCACATTCTTTTTCCTTTATATCAGTGGACCTTTACACAAAGATACAGGCTCAAAGACTGTTGACAAAGCACAAGCAAACTTAAATGCTGCTTCTAGTCTGTCGTGAGTTGCAGTAGGGAAGGGAGAGAAGAATCTCTTTACAAGAAGGGGTGTTAAAGGTTACACAAGGCAGGGTTCAGCATGAGTATGGGTAGAATCATGCTGACAACCTTTGGAGCCTCAGAATATGGGCCCCTTTTCATCAGTTTAGAGGGAGGAATAGCTTCTCTCAGCAGGTCTCAAAAGGTTCATTTAACAGCACAGATCCTATGCATGTCTTGATGACTCATGATAGCCTATAAAGATCTTTCCATGTCAATAAGGATCTGCATTGTCATTTTAAATGATGCATAGTATAGTATTCCACTGTATGAAGGGTCATTGTAGTAAGCCACAATGAACTCTCCTATTCATATATTTTTTCCACATTTTTTGTATGCTCTTTTTCTTAAATAACAGATAAACATTTTATTTTAGTTTGTAATTTAATTTTTTGAACAATATGATTCAAAAATAAAAATAAAAGAAGTCTACAATACAAAGGTTTCCTTCCATTCTTTTTCCTTGTCCCACCCCAATGATTATTAGTTTCCCTTGTATCTTTCCATACTTTCTTGATATTATACAAGCCAATATAAATATATACTCTTTTTTCCTTTTTTTATACATAAAGTAAAAAAGCATCTTTTAATCATCTCATTAGGGTAAAATTTTAGGAGTGGTATTGCTGAATTAAAGGGTAGTTTCAGTTAAAATCTTAATACATACTGTCCAATTGCTCATCAGAAAGGTTGGTACACACCAATAGTGCAGGAATATCACTAAGTCCATTTTATTTATTTTCCAATTTCGATGTATCTATAATCTGAAAGTGTCTGGGGAGCACTGAATGTTAAAAATCATTATAATTTGTAATACAAGGCTAATTCTGGTATTATATAGAAGTGACTGCACAAAAGACTCGATTTATCTATTTATAATTTATAATATAGATATATGGACACAACAAGAAGGAAGTTTTTGATCTAAGTTGTTATTTTTTATTTTTCTGTTTTTCTTATTGGATGGGTGGAGAGACAGGTAGGAATGAAAAGATGGAAAAATATCAGTTGTTTGTGATATAAAGATAGAAAATAGGGCTGAATGAGACAAAGAATAAACAGAATGAGAAATAGGGGCAGACCTAAGATGAGAGTGAAAAAGGATAGACAATTTAATTGGGCCTCATACATCTGATGAGACATATTGCTAGATCATCTCTTCCTGTTCTGGTGGTCATATGATTATACTAGAAAATAAAACTAGATTTCAATGGAATGAATATGTACATTTGTCTTTTTTTTCTTCAGTAGAATTGATTATTTGAAGAAATGGATACTTCTTCCTCCAAGAAATATCCAGTTAAAAAACGGGTGAAAATACATCCCAACACAGTGATGGTGAAATACACTTCTCATTATCCCCAGCCTGGGGATGATGGATATGAAGAAATTAATGAAGACTACAGAAATTTTATGGAAGAAAATCCAAAAAAAGGCTTGCTGAGTGAAATAAAAAGAAAAGGAAGAACTTTCTTTGGAACGATGGATACCCGACCTCCACCAACAGAAGACCCAATGACCAATGAGACTGGACAATTCCAGAGCTTTGCAGAAAAAAATATTTTTCAGTCCAGAAAAATGTGGATAGTGCTGTTTGGATCTGCTTTGGCTCATGGATGTGTAGCTCTTATCACTAGGCTTGTTTCTGATCGTTCTAAAGTTCCATCTCTAGAACTGATTTTTATCCGTTCTGTCTTGCAGGTCTTATCTGTGTTAGTGGTGTGTTACTACCAGGAGGCCCCCTTTGGACCTAGTGGATATAGATTACGACTCTTCTTTTATGGTGTGTGCAATGTCATCTCTATCACCTGTGCTTATACATCATTTTCAATAGTTCCTCCCAGCAATGGGACCACTATGTGGAGAGCCACAACCACGGTCTTCAGTGCCATTTTGGCCTTTTTACTTGTAGATGAGAAAATGGCTTATGTTGATATGGCTACAGTTGTTTGCAGTATCTTAGGTGTTTGTCTTGTCATGATCCCCAACATTGCTGATGAAGACAATTCTTTGTTAAATGCCTGGAAAGAAGCCTTTGGGTACACTATGACTGTGATGGCTGGACTGACCACTGCTCTTTCCATGATAGTATACAGATCCATTAAGGAGAAGATCAGCATGTGGACTGCATTGTTTACCTTTGGTTGGACTGGGACAGTCTGGGGGGTATCTACTATGTTCGTTCTTCAAGAACCTATCATCCCATTAGATGGAGAAACCTGGAGTTATCTCATTGCTATATGTGTCTGTTCTACTGCAGCATTCTTAGGAGTTTATTATGCCTTGGACAAATTCCATCCAGCTTTGGTCAGCACAGTACAACATCTGGAGATTGTGGTAGCCATGGTCCTGCAGCTTCTAGTGTTACATATATTTCCTAGTGTTTATGATGTCTTTGGAGGGGCCATCATTATGATTAGCGTTTTTGTCCTTGCTGGCTATAAACTTTACTGGAGGAATTCAAGAAGGCAGGATTATCAGGAAATAGTAGACTCTCCCATTAAATGAATATGTGGTTATCTTGTTATAATTCAGTTATTAATAGGTACACTGCCATTTTAATGTTCACCTATAAATGTCTTTTGTGTATAACTGACAGTGTTTTGTATTATATAAGTAATTTATGAAGATGTAGAAAAATTTATTCTAATATATAAATACTAATTATGTGAAATATCGTGAATCTGGTGTCTTTATTGTTATTAACAAAAGGTAATTGTGCTAGAAGGAGAATGCTAACTTTTATCACTTAACAACATAAGACTTGAAGAAATGACCTCTTTCAGATTGACCTTCTTGGTCCTAACATTCAAAAATTAGAAAATGTTCATGCAAATATTCTATGAATGTTCAACAAAAATTCTTCAATATTTAACACCTTCATTGTGAAAAGTACACTGTAATGCTGAAATGCTGAGTACCAAGCCCTGCTTTGTCATGTACTTGCAATAGGAAACTAGAGGTGATTGGGCTGGGTGAAGGAGATTGAATTGAGTCAAACAAGAGGGAACAAAGGAAAGGAGCTGGTTTTTCAATGACAATGGTGGGGTCCCACCTTAGATCAGGTATGGAAGACCAGAGGTGTGGTGGTGGGAGACCTAATGTTGAAGCAGGGTCCATGTATCTTCAGTGGTACAGATCTCTTCCAAAACTGCCCTTGTTTATGACTTTGTAGCAAGTACATGTGTGAGCAGCAGGAAACGTACTCCTTACCCTGAGAAAGACTTTAACAGTAATCATAGTAGCAGAAAATCAATACAACATGGTGTCCAGAAGGTCTTTTCAAAATGGCCTGTAGTCTTAAAAGCATATAAGGTTGCATTAATTGGGGTCTAATTTGAGCAATTCTTGCTAATTCAGAACATCCAAATGTTGACATGGTACTGATTATTAAGCTATTGCTACTCTTGAACTCTTGTTAGTTCCAAATTCATACTTTCCTCTTTATGTTATGACTTAGACCCTGCAAACTACATTTTTCCTATACCAACTGAACTCTCACTTAGTTCCACTAATGAAGGGCATTAGAGGGAGACTAGAAGGCAGGAAAAGGGGAGAAAGGACTTCTAACTTCCCCTTTGCTTGTGGTTTTTGCCACTGTTGCACCAACAATAGCATTTTGTTCTACAGCATCAGCTGATCTCAGCCTTGAGCTTCTTTTGGCACTCCTCCAGCCCACAGCCAGCCTCTTCATATCCCTCTCAGTAGTAGCAAGACCAACTAGACAGCATCATTCCTGAGAAGATGATGAGTCATTTCTCTGAGCTTCTGAGACCTGGTAGTCTTTGCTTTTTGTTATTGCTTACATTTTTAGTCATCTTCTGTTCCATCCAGTAAGTCCTCTTTTTCTCAGGCCTAGGGGCAGTAGCTGCTCTCCAGAGTTATCAGCCTTGGCCACTTTAGTGTTCGCTTTTTGCTTTTTCAGTCCATCAACATCTGATACTAGATTCTTTCTGTTGTAATAATATCTTATTATTTTTGTTTTCTTGGCTAATGTGTCCAAATCTTCCCCAAAGGAACCCAAAGTCATTAGTAGAGTGTCTATGCTTTTGGGAAAATGTTAACATTCAGATTTTCCAGGAATTAGTAGACACTGGATCTCAACAGAAATTATCCAAATTAAAGCACAGAAAAAGATCTGGGAAAAAAAAAAGAAAAGAGCCTAGAATGACCTGTACTAAGGACTAAGAAGTCCAGTATAAATGTAGGTATAGTCCCAGAAGAGGAGAGAGAAAGAATGGGACAGAAAAAACTATCTGAAGAAATATTTATCAAAAGTTTTCCAAACCTGATAAAAGGAAACAACCACCAGCAATCCACAGAGCCAGGTAAATAATGAACTCTAATCAGCAAAAATACAAAGAAAACCACACCTAGAAACATAGTGTAACTGCTGATAAATAAAGACAGAGAAACAAAATCTTAAAAGCAGCCAGAGAAAAAGACATGACATTCAGGAAAACAATGATAAGAATTATAGCTGGACACAGACACGACAAGTAATGACTCTACAACATCTTACTATGCTGAAGGACAGTGACTGCAATGAGACTGGATGGGGACTTGATAATATGGGTGAACGGTGAAACCATAATGTTTTGCTCATGTAAAACCTTCATAAGATTGTTTATCAATGATACCTTAATTAAATATAAATAAAACAATCTGAAAACAGGAAAAAAAAATTACAGCTGGCTTCTCATAAGAAACAATGGAGGCCAGAAAACAACAGCATGACATTTAAAGTGCTGAAAGAAAACCCTTTGATGGCTTCTCATTGCCTATAGGATAAAGTCCATAACCTGCTATTGCTTATATTTTTAGTCCTCTTCTGTTCCAGCAATATTCTACTATTGTGTAATACTTTTCTTATGCAGGCTCCTCTATGTGGAAAGCCCTTCTCTTCTTTGCCTACATAACTGCCTAACTAGCCTGATCACACAACTCCCCTCACCCTCTGGCTTAATGTCCCCCTGAACATATATCTATTACTCTATTTACTATATTAATAATAAATATGGTTAAATTTCATTCTCTGACTCTTGATTTGAGCTCCTTTAAGACTGATCCTTAGATCTCCAGTACCTACTGTAGTGCCTACTACAGAACAGACTCCATAATTTTTTGTTGAATTAATTTCCATAAAAGCATAACAATACTCAATCCAGAAATTAAATTTAGTCCCCAGGATCCACTAATTTTTGTATCTCACAGTCAAGCCTGTGATTAGTTACTTCTTGCTAAAAGGCTTTCTTTTGGGTCCTAAATAGTCCTGCCTGACAGTGATGCTAAACCAGATCATTCTAATCATTTCTAACTATAAGCGTTCAATAGTTTCCTGGGAAAGGTCTTGAGACATGGAGGCTCATTTTTCCCTTCCTTGTCTTTCCAAATTCTCTCCTTTGGGATTAATGAAGTAAGTACCTGCATGGTTTTATCCCAGACAGATTAGCTGCCCTATATCTGAAGCCCATTTCTGGTCTATAGGTCATAAATTTTAAAAAAAAGTTATAGTTGATACACAATATTATGTTAGTTTCAAGTGTACAACACAGTGAATCAACATTTATATATGTTATGATTACTATGATATCCAGTTACCATGTCACCAAAGTTATTACAATATTATTGACTATATTCCCTATGCTGTACTTTTCATCCCTGCAACTTATGTATTTCATAACTGATGTTTGTACCTCTTAATCCCCTTCATCTATTTTGCCCATCTTCCCATCCTTTCACCTCTGGCAACCACCAGTTTGTTCTCTGTATTTGTAAGTCTGTATCTGTTTTGTTTGTTCATTTGTTTTTTAGATTCCACACATAACTGAATCATATAGCATTGTCTTTGTCTTTCACTTAGCATGATACCCTCCAGGTACATTCATGGTATCACAAATGGCAAAATTTCCTTCTTTTTTATGGCTGAATAATGTTCCATTATGTATATATACTGCATCTTTTTTATCCATTCATCTATCAATGGACTTTTAGGTTGCTTTCATATCTTGGTTACTGTAAAAAATGCTGCAATAAACAGGAGTGCTTATGTGTTTTCAAATTAGTGTTTTTTTTTCCTTTGGCTAAATACCCAGAAGTGGAATTATTGGGTCATATGATATTTCTATTTTTAATTTTTTGAGGAACTTCCATACTGCTTTCCATAGTGGCTGTACCAATTTACATGACCACCAGCAGTGTAGGAGGGTTCCATTTCTCCACATCCTCACCAATACTTGTTATTTCCTGTCTTTTTGATACTAGCCATTCTGACCAGTATAAGGTGGTGTATCACTGTGGCTTTGATTTGCATTTTTCTGTTGACTAGTGATGGGGAGCATCTTTTCATGTGTCTGATGGCCATCTGTATATCTTTGAAAAATGTCATGAGTGGTCCTCTGCTCATTTTTTAATAGGATTGTTTGTGTTTTTGGTGTTGAATTGTATGAGTTCTTTGTATATTTTGTATATTAACCCTTTTTGGATATATCATTTGCAAATATCTTCTCCATAGGTTTTAACTTTTGACCTAAATTTTCTTGTTGTCTGATTCTGGCTAGTTCTCGGTCCATTTAGCATTATTAGTGTGATTCCCATTTTTTATTTGAGTTCTAAGAGAGGAAGAAGAAGCCATATGCATGTTTGTTTGAAGTTTGAAGACAGAAAGTGTGAAAGAAGTCTCTGGGACAACTCCCACCCCATAAAAACAGGAATCCATCCATTCCTTTTGAGTGTACCATACAGCAATTTCACACATGACTTTCTGCCAATCTACCCTTCCACCCAAAGCTTTCTTCTTTCATTGCTATTTCCTTATTTTTCTTGTTCAATTTCTTTTTTATATTTTTGAGTTTTTCTTTTTTTAAGAGTTTCCAGTAAGAAGGGGTGATAAAAAAACTTATAGGAAAACTAAAAGGAAAAAAACCACATTTTTTACAGGGAACTTAATCCTTTTATGAATAAGCTCTCTCCCTTCTATTGTTTAAATAGGTGGCACACAATAGGCAAAAGACATCTGAATCAAAACTTTGAAAGGTCTGTTCAGATCATTGGCCCATTCAGAATATATATTCCCTTACAAAATAAGATCTAAACTTATGATGTCAACACTAATTTTCCCTACTAAGGCAGTGGTATATGCTACCTGAGCACAAGGACTACTTTACTTGTGTTTGCATTCACATCCTGTAAACCCATCACTTGCTAAATTCGTAGACTGAATTGGGTCAGGTTTTGCTAAATTCACTGTGTGCTTTTGGGAAAATAGTTTTAACTTTTGCATAATTGTTTCTCCAGCCTCAAAAATGAATATATCTCAATACATAAACTTTATAAGATGAATCAACAAATAACATTATTCTATTAGCTCAAGCTGCTATAACAAAATACCATTGATTGGGTGACTTAAACTATAGAAATTTAATTTCTCAGTTTTGGAAGCTGGTAATTCCATATCAGGGTGTTGGCATGGTCAGTTTCTGGTGAGAGCTCTCTTTCTGGTCACCTTCTCATTGTGTCTTCTCATGGTGGAGATAGAGAACGGGTCTCTTTTTATAAGGACACTAATCCTACAGGATTAGGTGCCCACTTTTCACCTCAGGCAACCTTAATTACCTCCTAAAGGCCCTATCTCCAAATACAGTCACACTGGGGTTTAGGGCTTTAATAGGAATTTTGGGAGGACAAAACTCACTCCATAGCAGCCATTATAATATATGTAAAGGTATTTAGACCCTTAGAATAAATTCAAAATTCACTTACCTTATTCACTTTGGATACTAATAATGGGATGTAGACATAGAGCAGCTGTTATCCAGTTTCATGGTTTATTTGCCTCAGTCAAAGGAGGCTAGGAAGGGGCCACAGGTAATTTGTACTTTGACCCTGTGATCCTATATATGGTAAGCAAACTACCTGTATCTATCAGCATTCAAATGAATGACTTTGAAGTTAAATGCAGAAAAGTGTTTACAGTCAGGGCCGAATTAAAGAAGGGAAAGGAAGACGTGTTAATGCCTTCAAGGGTATTTACTCATGATCTGTCATGTGGTAGGCCCTAGGGAAAAACTATACATGATTCCTGACCATGAAATTTACCATCTAGGCAGCAATAAGGACTCTTTTCAACAGCTTGGGTCGGGAAAATACCTGTGGTCTGAAGACAAGTAGTGAATCTATAGCATCTTACTACGCTGATGGACAGTGACTGTAATGGGGTATGTGGGGGGGACTTGGTGATGGGGGGAGTCTAAGAAACCTAATATTCCTCATGTAATTGTAGACCAATGATACAAAAAAAAAGTTGGGAAAAAAAAAGTTAACCCAATAAAAATTACCATGGGCGAGCCATTTAACATAAAAAAAAATTTGTACTTACAGCTTTGGTCTGCAATTTGTTGAAAGAGTACCTCAAGGTAAAAAAAACAAAACAAAACCTGTGATCCCTGAAAGGTACCTCACCCAGGCTTCCCTGGGCGCCTAAAAGGAGCCACAAAGATGGTTGGAAAGGGGTGAGGCAGGTTGTGAGGCTGCAGCACAGGCGTGGGGAGAATCAGTTTACTGCTGATCCGGCAGGTGTCCGGGGCCGGACCGCTAAGAATGGGCGGACTGGGCAGCTTAGGTCACTGCATTCCCTCCTCACAGCACGGCCTCCACAGCCCGCTGGAAGCTACCTGCGCACGAGGGCACTTGAAAGGCTCTCGGAGCGAGCTTCTTTCGGTTTATGGCTCAAATTAAACATTTCTTACATTTTTCTCTCAAATCCCCATTTCCAGGCCTTCGGGTGTTTTCCTTTTCCGCTTCCCAGCCCTAAGAAGCTTCTGCGGCAACACCCGGTTCAGGTGCAGAAACGAGGAGGCGGCTCCCCAACAGCTGGGGCTGACCTCGCGAAGCAGCACTTTTTGCTGTGGAGTCTCTCCTGTGGCGCTAGAGGAGAGCCAAAGTAGTCAGTCTGTGCGGCCGGGGAGGCAAGAGCGACCAGGGCCAGATCAGGCCGGGGACTTGACACGCTCCGGCTCCACCTCGCTCGCTCGCTCGCTCGCCCCCTCGCTCGCTCTTCCCTTTTCTCTCTCTTGAGGCTCAGCTCACTCCACGCTCAGCACGGCATTTGATTGACAGGCAGGTCCGCCCAATCCCAGAGCGGCGCTGACAGCTCTCGCGTCCAGGGTAGGAGGGAAGGGGGAGACCGCACCTATCAGATTGGGCCGGGAGGGGGTTTCCTGCCCGCGTGGGTGCGCCCGCGGCCTCGCGGCCAGTCGCAGCAGCAGCCCGGCCCGCCTGCCGCGCGCGTTCCGCCCCTCTCCCGAGAGCTACGCGGAGACGGAGCAGAGGCCTCGTGCCGTAACGGCCATCGCGGCGGCCGCGGCGGCATCCCGGTGCCCTCCTCAGGTGAGCCGGGGCTGCCGGGCTCGCAGAGGGAGGGGAGATGGGTTGCCGGTAGGCAGACGCACAGACAGCTTTTCCTCCCCTGTTCGTCCACACAGCCTGTTAAGTCGCTTCCTCTTTCCCGGTGAAGTTAGTCCCCGGGGCGCCGTCTGCCGGCCCGGAGCTGAGCCGGAGGGGGCGGGGAGTCTGCTCGGCCGGCCTGGGCGTTTGCCGCGCGACCCCGCGCGACCCTCCTGCCCGCGTCCAGAGCGTCGCGTCGGGGTGAGCGCCCCGGCTGGCCGCCCTTGCGGGGCGGGGAGGTCGAGTGTGGGGCGCGCTTGCTTCCCTGTTCCTTTTCATCCCGAAAAAGTCCTGTTGCCTGTGATGGCGTGATCCGAGGCCGGGAAGATAGGGACGTGGTAGAGGAGGGAAGGGGGGCGCGCTCACCTCCAGCTGGAGAGGAGGGGAGGGAGGCCAGCCCTGAGCCGAGGTTGGACATCCTCGGGATGCGCTCTCCGCCCTTCCCCCCGAGCCGCTTCCCTCCTCGGGAAATCGGTTGTTTTAATCGTGTGGACTTGTGGATTCGTACGCGAGTTGCTTAGGCTGAGATTTTTTTACTTGAGTTGTAATATATTCTGTAGAAATACCTCGATAGGTTGGTTTTGCAACCTTTCTTAGGTGTTTCCATAAAAGTTAAAACTGCCGTTAGAAGCTCGGGAACCTGGATTTTGTTCAGGGGTGAGAACGGTAACTTTATATGCACTCAGTGTGGAACTCATGCTGGTCGCCTAAAAATAATTCTATCCGTTAGATTTGGTAAGAAACCATAGGAGTTAGGAAAGAATGAAGTTAAGGAGAATTTTCTAACCCCAACTTAGGTGGTGAGCAAAGAAGCTCAATGTCCGGTCAAAACGGGTAAGTGTTGCAAGAGGTATCTTTTTAAAGGTTCATGAAAAACCAACCAGACAATTTATTAAGCACCTGGAAAGTACTGTGCCTAAAGTCTCAATCTTCAGCGAGGTCGCAAAGTAAATGAAATAATCCAAGAGGAAGGTTTTACTTGGTAATTGTCAATGACGTTCAGCTTTTAGGTCCCAGTCACAGTTTGATAGTAACGCAAGAAATATTGGTTGATTAGTAGTAGTGTCATTCCATCTTGATCACAAACCTCCGGGATTTTCTTTAGGAAAATTGTGATTAGTAGGAATTAGCTATAATTAAGCTGTAAACACTGTATGCAGTGTTCAGGATTGCTCAGCTGTGCTTGTTGGAAATTTTCAAGTGTTTGCTTTATTTTTCTAACCATTATCTTTTAGTCCAGATTTTTAATAAAACTTGAAGCATATATAGAATGCTTTGGTAGATACTGAGTGATTATTTATGCCTCTGAGGTTATTTTTCTTTAAAAACTTTCCTGCCAAAGCTCAAAGTAGATTTGAAGTGATTATTGTTGTAAATCATTTGTCAGGAATACTTGATTTAATAATTGCAGTCCACTTTTTTCTATCATAGATTAATTAATAACTTTTACAATTTGTTCACCTTTATAATATGGAAAAATACAAAATTTCTATACCTACACTAAAAGATTAAATGGTTAGTTATTTAGTTGATAAGTGATATTGGAGGAAATTCGAAATCACTAAGAATTTAACCAGTTCTTCAAAAATGCCTTGCTGTGCTGTTTTAGCAAGACAACTGACAGGGCCAAAAATGACACTTATGAAGTAATGAAGACAGCCATTCAATCTGGATGAGCCTCACTTTAAACTACTTCAAAGACAGAATTTATAGTTTTCCCTTCAAAACTGATGCCATATGCTGACTTTGTTTTGGTGATATTGTCATGCTTTTGGTTATCTAGACACAAACCTTGGTTTTATCTTTGACTTCCTCTATCCACATAACTTAACATTGGCCAATTTTTTTCAGCCATTTTTTGAAATTTCTCTTATGTATCTGTTCTTTTCACTAGCTTTTAACTGTATTTTCTGCCTGCCTTTTCTCCCTGCTCAGGATGTTCTGCCTTTTGCTTTGATCTTAAAATAATTCTTCAGACTTACCCTCGATGTTAGTCCAGCAGTAGCTCCCTGTTATCTACAGAGTGTAGTTTAGAATTCCTACAAAAACCTTTTTTTCCTAATGCCAGGACTATTTCTCTATAGGAGCTGTCCACCCTAACCAAACCAATCTCTTGTTTACGTTTAGACTGTGTTTTTTTTACCTTCATATCTGTTGAGAATTTGAATAGCCTTCCTATTCTTTAAAAGATATCCCCTCCCCCTCCAACCTCCAAATCACCCAATTAGCAAATGAAGTAAAATTTTGTTGAAGTTTCATTTTTAGTTCTTCAGGGCAGTCTTCCAGATCTTTCTGTTCCCTGTGTTGTTGCTTTCTTTTGAACCCATAACCCTTATTCTGTTATTCCTTTGGTTTCTTACTTTTACGTGAGCTTGCATAGAACAATATTGTGGGAACATTGGAATCCAACTTCACATTTTATACATAAGGAAAATTAAGTTACTACAGAATAACTACTAAAATACACACATTTAGGGATGGTAACAGACGTGAGACTCAAATCTTGATTTCATAACTCAAGTTTTGTGTGCTCATTAAAAAGTTTTTTTGTGTGTCTATTTTATGAAACTACTGCTTCTCATCTCTTGCTGTGTTGTTTTGTATTGTTTGTTTCATATTATTTTGTATTTTGTGTATTTATGCCTTCTCATATAGATTCAAAACACATGAGGGCAGGAGAACCTTCATGACTTGTTTAAATCATTGCAACAATGATTTAATGTCTACAGTCAACTGTATTTGGTAGCTCTTTAGCATTAACAAAAATAATGTCATTTCTACAGTTGAGTTCTGTGACCCACTAAAAATTGAGCCAATCTTACAAGTTTTACTGTTGGACATGAGTTGTTTGAGTCTCTTGATAAGGAGATTGAATTTTTGGGGGCCAATAACTAGTTGTGAACAATATAATAGTTTGAAGAAACCTGGAGGGCTTATCTCATAACTAAGTTTAAATTAATCTAGCTAAATGTTCTTTTCCTCAAAGAACAGTTAACACTTACATTTTGCTATTTTGTTATCACATTCATCTATCAAGAGCAACATTATTGAACAATCTGCTTATTGAACAAAACATTCTGAAAGTCATTTGCTTTTTAAATATTTGTTCATATTTTTTTCCTCTTAACTTTAAAGTTTCTCTTGATTATCAGAAGCATGGGGTAGCCTTAGCATTTTTCTTATATTTATGTAGCAAGAGTTGAATGCTGTAAGATAGGGAGCACAGAAAATTTATCAGGTGTAATGTTTCTGAATTTCGAAGGGAAATTATTTCCAACCTAGAAGTCATTACCCAATCAAACTAAGTGGGAAGAAAAAAAACAAAACAAAAAAGAGAATCTACTGTAGGATATACTCCATCAAAAGGATGGCTAACACCAAAAAAAGAACTACATGAATCATAACAATTAGGATATTTAACACAGCAGAAAGGCAAAGGGGATCTCTAGTTTTATGGTAAAGGGAGAAATCCCAGAAAACTTCTATGGACAAGCCAGACAGCTGGTCAAGCAGGTTGAAAAGTGGTAGACAAGGACAAAGCAATTCTTTAATTTAATTTAATTTATTTATTTATAATTTTTAAAATTAAGGTATCATTGATATACATTCTTATGAAGGTTTCACGTGAAAAACATTGAGGTTACTACATTCAGCTGTATTGTCAAGTCCCCCCCCACACACCATTGCAGTCACTGCCCATCAGCATAAGATGCCACAGAGTCACTACTTGTCTTTGTGCTACACTGTCTTCCTCCTGACCACCCCACAAACACTTTGTGTGTCAATCATAATACCCCTCAATCCCCTTCTCCGTCCCCACCTATCCTCCACCAGCCCTCCCTTTTTATAACTACTAGTCCCTTCTTAGAGTCTGTGAGTCTGCTGCTGTTTTGTTCCTTCACTTTTTCTTCATTGTTATACTCCACAAATGAGGGAAATTATTTGGTATTTGTCTTTCTCTGCCTGGCTTATTTCACTGAGCATAATACCCTCTAGCTACATCCATGTTGCAAATGGTAGGATTTGTTTTCTTCTTACAGCTGAATAATATTCCATTGTGCATATTTACCACATCTTTATCCATTCACCTACTGATAAACATTTAGGTTGTTTCCATATCTTGGCTATTGTAAATAGTGCTGTGATAAACATAGAGGTGCATATGATTTTTGAATCTGAGAACTTGAATTCTTTGTGTAAATTCCAAGGAGTGGGATTCCTGGGTCAAATGGTATTGGTATTTCTATTTTTAGTTTTTTGAGGAACCTCCATATTGCTTTCCACAATGGTTGAACTAGCTTCCATTCCCACCAGCAGTGTAGGAGGGTTCCCCTTTCTCTGCATCATCGCAGGCATTTGTTGTTCTTAGTCTTTTTGATGCTGGCCGTCCTTCCTGGTGTGAGGTGATATCTCATTGTGGTTTTAATTTACATTTCCCAGATGATTAGTGATGTGGAGCATCTTTTCATGTATATGTTGGCCATCTGAATTTCTTTGGAGAATTGTCTGTTCATATTTTAATCAGGTTATTTTGGGTGTTGAGGTGTGTGAATTTTTTATATATTTTGGATGTTAACCCCTTGACACATATGTCGTTTTTGAATATATTCTCCCATAACGTAGGGTGCTTTTTTGTTCTGTTGATGGTATCCTTTGCTGTACTAAGCTTTTTAGTTTGATGTAGTCCCATTTGTTCATTTTTTGTTTCCCTTACCCAAGAGGATGTGTTCAGGAAAAAGTTGGTCTTGTTCATATTCAAGAGATTTTTTTGCCTATGTTTTCTTCTAAGAGTTTTATGGTTTCCTTACATTCAGATCTTTGATTCATTTTGAGTTTACTTTTGTGTATGGAGTTAGACAATAATGCAGTTTCATTCTCTTACATGTAGCTGCCCAGTTTTGCCTACACCAGTTATCATTTCCCAATTGTATATCCATGGCTCC